TTCTTGGAACATGTCTAATTCACAGAACCACTAATGCTTGCCTACTAGGCTTCAGCTTCTCAATATAATATTTCTGTAGTTTGCTTTGGGGGAATTATGAGTAGGCTGTTACTAACACTCTGACACAGATAAATTTAACTACCTGCTATCACTAGGCTGAGAGTAAATAAATGAAAAAGGACTAGAACATGCTTCAGAGTCAGTGAAACCAGTGCTTAATCAGCAACAAGGAAGGACTACAGGACAAAGGTCAAGTATCTACAGTGTACGTACTTACTGGAACAGCTACACCCATAAAGACTAAGTAGGCCACCTTAGTCCTCATGGTGCCTCTGAGCTTAGCTCAAACTGTAACTATACTCAAACTGGCAAAAATGAAAGTACTTATATGGGTGAACAGTGAATGCCACCCATCTTACTGACCATAAAGGAACATGTGGGCAAACAGATGTCTGATAGTTGTTTTTTGTAAAGCCTTTGTGATGAAAGACAGAGCTGGAAGAGCTCATGTTCCACATAGGGAATGTCTGGTCCAAGGCTTTATGATTGCTCAACATTTGTAAAAATTAAGCTGCCGTTTCCTGTTCAAACATCAGAAAAGTTGCATCAAGTCAGTATTATGGATGGGAGTTAAAAAAGGCAGAATTCCCAGCTTCTCTGTGCCAGCTGCTTAGGATATATCTCTTTTCTATAAAACAGCTGCATTGCTGACAAACTAGAATGGGAAAGGGAAATTACTTCCTTCGTCAAAAGTACTTCTGATGAGAAATGCATATCAATTATTTGTGTGTACAGCTCAGGTGACATTTATCTCTAGTGTCATGTTATTTTCAGACTAACTTTCTTCACCCTGTCTCTGTAAGGTTTCACAAACAAGGGGGACCTGCAGACACAGTAACATACATCACCAACACCACTTCCACCCATGTACCATCAGCCTGGCTCCTGCTCAGCCTCACCATCCTGTTTTGAACGTCTGCTCCATTTGAAAACTGCCAGAAAGAAGAAACCTGCTCTGCTAAAAGAGTATTTTCTAACAAGCACACTTGCCAGTTTTGTTTTGCTGGAATTTGAACAGCAAGAGAATGGCGTTTGCTAAATGTAGTTCCCCATACAGCTCCAGGACAAAACCATGATGAGTAAAGAGGTTGAAGTTATGAATTGGTAGTCTTTGGGACGAAAAATTTTTATAGCATGGCTGTTTTAGGTGTGGCTAGCAAGGCAGATAAAGGAAGATGGTATTATAGAACAGGTTTCTATAGAAACTAATAACCTATGTACTTCCTTCCAAACTCCCTGCAGATTATTTCACCTATCCAAGTTGTCTTGACCTACCTACGTTTAGTACATGCAGCTATGTAATGAATTTAATTGCCCATTAATTTGTCCTGAGGTATGCTAGTAATGAGAAGCTGCCAAGATTTGTTTTGTATCAGCATTTAGAAGCCATAATTTGGTTAGTAACGTATTGCCTCTGAGGTTTTCTTTGTTCTAGATCTTAACTATTTGCCCCACTTTCCAAAATACTTCAAATTACTTTAGACAATATCCTTCATTTCACTGCCTGAAAAACCTGACAACTCACTGAAATACTTTCCATTGAGACTAGCCATGAGAGAAAGATCCCTAACACATCAGCTTTGGGTTTTCTTTCCTAGTTTAGAAGGGAAGGCATTTTCACTTGCCCATTATTTTTGTCCATGTAATAATAATGAATAATAATAATAATAATAATAATAATAATAATAATAATAATAATAATAATAATAATAATAATAATAATCCATTTCTTTTGACTACTAATCATCATCATTAAATGTTTTTTTAAATGTTTTTTGCCAATGCTTTCTACAGAACACCAGAGTGGACAAACTGGGTTATTTTGTAAGAGAAGCTAAAACCTCCTTATCTCCCCCTACTTTTTCCACCAGTTCCATCATAACATCATAGACTTTTAAGCTCAAGGTGAATATATAATAGTTTCACACGTGGCTTTTCTAGGGGAGTAGAAAATTTTCTTTCCTATCAGAAAAACTAGTAGAAGTCAAAGCTACAAATAGAGGGCCATGATCAGGTCAGATGCACATGAACTACAAGGACATCAGCCAGACCTTCTTCATCTAAAATCCACTTACATGTGCATAGTACCAGCTGCTAAACCCAAAATTATTCTCTTTGAATTTATCAGCTAGATAGTGTTTAAATGCTTACCAGAAAGACAAATTATACTCCTTTTTATCTCTTGCTTAAAAAACACAGATCATTTAGTACATAATCCACAAATCATTTATTACAAGAGAAATATTAGCATAATTTCACTAAAAATTAATATTCCAAAATAATAACTAAATACACTTTCAAAAATAGAAAATAGAATTTCTTATAGAAAATGTTTCTTATACAAAAAGTTAATCAATAATTTACTACTTAACGTGATAGACTTCCTGTACATGATGAAAATAAGCATTAACTTGTTTTTCTGACATGGTAAGAAAATAACATTAATTTCCTAGTAGATGTTATCTCTCTATAAAATCAGATATGCAAGTCCAGTAGAATATACAGAATTTTTGCTTGGTACAAGTTAATTCACTGCCAAGAGTTAGTATAAAAAGAGCCCAGGCTTTCTATAAAAGGACTTGAGACCCTTCTCAAATAAAGTATTACGATGTGTCTTTAAAAACTGCCAACACACATCCATTCAAGAACAGGACTGGTTGCTTTATCGTCCAAAGAACCCATTTGGTCACACCACAGTGATGACTGTATAGGCAAATAGAGAGGCCATGAAAAAGGCTTTTTTTTTTTTCTCCTTTTAGGGTCAATCCATATTTTCTTCAGTTATTCTTTAAATTGTACGAGTAATTCACAGTGAAAAGCAATACAAGCTTTTGGTAAAAGGCAAACTGTAAAGAAAACCGCACCTTCAGTCTTTTTATTATTTGTATTACCTGTTTTTAACTATAAAGATTTTGTGGCTTGAATCTGGCTGATGAAGCCAAAGTATTCACTAAGAAGTATTTATCTAAGCCAAAATATTCATTAATAAGAAGTAATGAAAGCTGATTTATATTTTTTCCTCTCTGAAGCTTAACACGTGAATTTTAACAGCAAAGAACTAATGCAAGTATCATCACTGGGGAAGCTGAAAAATATTCCATAGCTGTACACATGGTCATTATATTTCCAAGGCAAGTACATTTTTTGTGAAAATGTCTCTTTTGCTGGGATAACATTGCTGACACCTCCTGCACTACTGAATGTAGGTAATCACAGGTGATAACCTGAATACCCACGGCCTAATGGCGTCTTCTGGGCTTCTAGTTACAGCAGCAAAATTACCTGCAATATTTTAAAAAGTACTGTAAGCAGAAGAACCTTCGGTATCACAGTTTTCAGGTGTGCTTTTCACTGTAAAAATGAGAGTTTACAAACAAATTACAGCTGACTGATACAATTTCTACCTCTTCCTGTAGGTATGTCAACTACAAATCTAGACATTTAAAAAAAAAGTGCTTAAAATTTAGAAACTATAATCTAGTACCCCTAGTGTTATTTTCTAGTTTTTGATAGCTTCTAAAGCATCATTAAAAATAATCAGCAAGTGAGACGTTTCATTAATGTCTTTCAAAAAGAAGTACTGAAACTGCACAACACAAACATGTATGAAAGATCAAAATATCATCAGCAACCATTTTGTTCTTACAGACAAATTATGAGCTTTCTTTCACAGAACAATCTGCTATCCATCTGAAGCATCCACTTTCACTACACTCTTCGAACGTTAAAGAATACACAGCCTGTTTCATGAGGAGGTTCTGCCTGGCATATAAATCCAAGCTGATTAAAATCAGTTTTTAATTGCGAAATGCTAGCATCCTCTTGCAAAGGTTCTGAACTCACACTTAAAAACCCAAGAATTGGAAATACTACCTTTCTGATGAGCTCATCATGACCCACACATTTGCTCATGAAGTGGCAGTAATGGGGATTGTAACGAGTAAACCATGGACTGTGCAAGCTGTTTTTGTCAGATAAAGATCAGTGACCACAACTGAGGAGCATACTGTGGAACAGATAGTAATCTTCAAGGTTTATGGTAGATTAATAGCTAAAACATCTAATAGAGGTGAATAGTCATTTTTAGAAAAGATGAAAAGGCCAAACTAAAACAAAAGATGTTTTGATGTTTCTCAAGCTTTGTTTACAGCCATATATTTACCTAGTATTTCTGGAAATAGCACATGGACTGGAAATGGATTTTGCTTTTATAATGGAATATAAAATAACAGGGCTGTTTTGCTATTAAGAAACAATGATAACTTTCTGGAAAATGAAAAGAATTTGAAAAGCTTAAACTGATTTTGATGAATAGATAGCAATATTAGGAAGAAGTATTAAAGTGAAGTCCCTCCTTAAGCCTCAAAGTAGTATAAAACAGAGTGGAAATTCTTAATTGCACATTCCAGTTGTCATCTGCCTTTGAATATTCTTTCATTATACGTCATTTTTTAAGCCAACAGCAACTGTTTTCAGGCCTCTAATGAATTTGCTTTTTCTTAAAATGTAATTTGGTCATAGTTTTGAATTAAAAAGGTACATGCAGGTTCAGTGATTCACAATCCATTCAGGATTCTTTGGCTAGAAGAGCTAAGACTTTGCTGTTAAAAATGGATTCTGAAAGAGACTGATTACCAAGAACCATATTTCATAAATTATTTTGGTGATGTCTATTCAAGGTTCATTGGTAGGTGATCAAAAGTCAAAAAATCTTGAATCAAAATAAAAAAAAATTTTATATTAAAAGCTAAAAGGATTAAACACTGTTCGCTTCATACTGTATCTCCAATGAATATCCTTCATGTAGAGTATTTTCAAGTTTGCTTGACAAAAAAATTATAAAAATAGAAAGAAAACCAGAAATATTAAAGCCATCACTAAGATAAAAACAAGAGTGCTTGTCATTTCAGCAAGGATTGTCTTTTATCATGATAGGAAAATTGCTCTTTGTAAACATTTTTTACAAAGGCCATTCTTTTTGCTAAAATTCTCCAATAGGAGATGCTGCATAAAAAAGGGTGAGATTTTCCACTGCCTAACATACAGTCACCATCACGTTTCTGTCTGTCATGTTAATTACTGGACATTTCCATTCCTTACTACCAACAGCTGCACACAGAGGAGTGGCCCATGCTCAACTTACATAGTTTTCCAGAGGATTGCAGAAAAGAAGAGCATTCTGGTAGACACAGGTGGACTGAATCTGCAATTCATGATACTTCAGTGACAAATGTGACATGAAAGCTTCATTGACTGAATAAAACATTGTCCTCCTCATACACCAAAGCTGGGTCTTCCATGCTCTCCAGTGAAGTGTGACAAGTTTCATATTCACAGTGTAATGATGGTTCTTTGGCAACATTGGACATCAACTGACTCCAGGTGATATTAGTATTTTTGAAAGCATGCAATAGAAAAATGCCAATGATGATGCTGCAGAATCCGCTCAGAGTTCCAATGATATCACCCGGGTCCATACTACTCCACTCCTTGAACAGGATGATGGAGCATGTCACAACCGTTGTGGTAAAACACACATAATAAATAGGTGTCACTAGAGATGTATTGAACACATCCAATGCTTTGTTGAGATAGTTGATCTGAGTGCTGACTGAAAGCACTAAGATGCCGACCAAAATGTAAACCAATGGATGTCGATAAACTGGCTTCTGCTCCAGCATTTGTTTAATGGCAATGCCCAAGCCTTTCACAGATGAGACAGAGAATGCACCAATGAGTGAGCAAATTAAAATGTAGATCAGTATATTTGTCTGACCTCTCCTTGGAGCCACAACAAAAATCAGCACGAGGGCAACAACTGTTAGGAGAACAGCAAATGTAACAAACACTGTAAGAAAGAGGAAAGGGAAGAAGAGTAATGTGCATGAGAGAAAATACCAGACTACATCCTGAGGACATGCTAAAAGTCATTCAGTGTCCTGAACACTTCTCTATGAACTGTAGCACAAGTTCATTGCAATTGCATACAGACCTGGATCTTGCAGCTTTCTTTCCATCTCATCTAGCGAGGTGACCTCCTCCTCCTCAGGGGCATGAATAACCATGACTGTTGACCCCAAAATGCTCAGTACACAGCCCAGCTTTCCATGAATATTCAGTTTCTCATTTAAAAAATAGGATGACAATATAGCGCTGTTTGGCAAAATAGAAATAAAAGGTTCAGCTCCACTAGCCATGTGAGACATTCAATATCTGTGTAACATGATAGTAATTTAAAAACTCTTTTGAATTTTGATATATGGGAAACCAGCCTGAAACAATCAAATTTTATGGAGTTTTGCAAGTAGGTTGGTCAGGACCAAGCAGGTCAGGTCAGGTTTTAGGGGGGGTTAGCAACCTGATTCCTCCCCTCCAGGTTGTAAAGGGTCTGAAGTGCTCAAGGAACTTCTCATTACTGATTGCCTGGGTCAGGGGTATGCACTCTCACACACCTGTAGATCGACTGTTCTTCCAAAAATGGTTTAAAGCACTTCATTTATCATTAGAACCAATGCACATAAGTTTTGGAAACTGTTCCTCATCCCTCCCTGGGCTCTCCCACCCAGGCACAGCTTCTGCCTGGCTTCCCAGGACTCCCCCAAAAGCACAGAGAAGGCATGTCTCCCCTTTTAAGAGGACTGACCCCAGGCTCTCCAAGGGGTTCAAGATTTAACCTAAGAATAGTAAGTAACATGGCCCAAATGAGGCCACAGCACAAGGCACATGACCAGCCAGCTAGAGCACAACCTTAGGGCACAGACACAGGCTTAATAGTGTGTGGACGACACGTTCACAGTTTTTCAACCCACTGATCACATTACAGCCATTTTTTCACACAACGGTAACAAGCTCACTGACATTAAGTTCTCATGACCTCTCTGTTTCATGAAAATTGAAAAGATTGCTATCCACATCAAAGGAGAGAATGTTAAAACTCAGGCTGTTTTATGAAGCAGCAGCCAGGCAGCCAGTTAGTCTGCATCTACCTGCACGCTGATCCCAGCACATCTGTAGGTCACAGACTTACACTGATTTTGCTATGACAGAACAGCTGCATTTCTAGCAGTTAGATTACTGCAAGCATCCTAAAAAAAATAAAATACATGGCCCAGGTTTGGTTTTAAACACAGTGTTTCATATAGTATACTCAGGTCTTAAAAATAATAGTTTTACATTTAAAATTTAGTCATTCCATTTTGTTAATAATTTATTTCCCAGAATGTTTGTTGTAAGCATAATCCATGTCTCTTCTGCTTCTGTGGTAGCCATATTAATGTATGTGCTTAAGAACTTAGAAATTATTTGTTTCTTCCTACATTGGAAATGAGCATTTGAAGGGCATTCATATTTCAAAAGAACCACAAATTTTAACTGTGGATTTAAAAAAACCTAACATTTTCTTTGCCTTGTTTCCAGGACTTGGAAAATACCAAAAAAGCCCAAAATGCTTATTAAGTTTGTCTTAATATGAAATTATGCTCCTATGAAAAAGAAATTATTTTGTAAACATTTTAATGGGGGAATACTGTATTTTCTTTTGAAGTTTTTTCACAACTGAAGAACAGGATAAGGCTTTTTAAGAAAGCTTCAGTCCTCTAGGAAGAGATAATTTACAGCCTTTCACCACTGTGCATCAGCAGTATACCTGGTATATGCTGATAAAAAATATTTTATAATATAGGTGGAAGGCTGTTGGGAAAGCATATATTAGTCTTTGGAACAAGACTTCTTACTCCCTCTACTCATCAAATTCAGCTCTAAATAAGCAAAGATCTTTCTGCTGAGGAACAAACCCCATTTTTTCCATATATTGCTTTCCAGTTTTCTTACTAAAATTCTCTGCTTTCAGGCAAAGACAGTACTTTCCCCTCACACAGTGAATGTTTCATCCATCAAGGTTTGTTCCCAGTTTGTACTAACCTTATGAGAACACTCAGTGCACCCAAGGGGGTAACTAAAGTGGCAGGTGCAAAGGCGTAGGCAGCAAAGTTTGCAGCTTCTCCTAATCCCACTGCAGAAGAAAGAACATTTCTTTCAGGTTGAGGTGGGGGAGAGGAATAAAAGGAATATCAATATCTTGTATGATAGCAAATATAAACCAGAATCTTTTTGCTACACTATATATGCAAACTTTCTTTCCAAAATTATCTAACCTCCTCTGGACATAATAAAGGCTGAAGGAAGTTAAATATTTTTCCCCTAAGTACTCCTAGAAGTTGGACTGATTCAATCCCATCGCTTTTGACTGGGTATTAAAGAAAGGCTGTTCAGTAAAGAGTAAACAGAATATTTGAGAGATGGGATATGAGAATGGCTTCTGTCACAAAGGTGATTGCAAAGACTTTTCTTTTAAGTGAAGGGAGTGAAAAATCAAGGAATAAATCTATTTTTCAAAAATCTGCTTTATGTAGCATTTATATATAGGCTGAAAGGAAAGAGGTGACTTACTTGAAAGCAATCCAGCCCACCAAAGCCATTCCTTCAGATAAGAATATCCACCCTGTCCTGAAAGCGGAAAAATAATCTCACCTTAGAAGAAAGAGACCACATTATTATAACAAACTAAACTACAGTTTCACATTTGCCTCTAGTCATATAAAGTACTAAAAGAACATGTTATCTGGATGTGATGAGAAGAATATTTTGTTTGATTTTGACTGACATTTATATTAATCACTCTACTGCTTTGTGGATTGGACTTCAGAAAAATGTTATTTGACTAAAGGGAAAGTTCCAAGCAAAAGTAAAATGTCCATGAAGATTGTTGATAAACTTAAGAAATGCTTCAAAGTGCTTTCCCAGGTCAGATCCAATATATTCATACACAGTCAGATGCATTTTGACTCTGCTTATAATTTAAATTGAAAGAAATTAGAAATAAAAAGGCCACTGCATGCATGATTTTTTTTACCATAAAATATAAGTATATTGAACATTCAGTAACACATTCATTTCAAATAACCAAATTCTCTGGAACAGTATAATGCAATAAACACAACAAACAAAACCTGCTAATGCTATATATTTAAATCCATGCAAAGGAATGATGAGATTAGTCCAATGGGTCTTTTTCTAGCTATTCATCTGTTGACTTTGATGAAAGAATAGTTGTACTAACTGTACAAACTTGCATAATAAGTACCTTTTCTACAGCTCACTGCACCACCTTTTTTTTTAAAAAAAAAAAACAAACAACTTAGTTATCATCTTAACACTTTCCGTCTTAGATGAGGAGGAAAGAAGATGGAAAAAAGAGGAAAAGGTATTTTAAAGGGTAAGATGGAGAATTTTATTTGGTATCTAACTGCTGTCAGGGAGGAAATACCACCAATTTACTAGATTTAATACCCACCTCTGCCCCCATAGCCCTAGGAATTCTGAAAACCCAGTCCCTGGAATCACACACAGAGAAATAATACTGTATTTCCCTTCCTAGCCAAGACAGGACTTCTGATCATGGTTAAATTATGACAGTTTTCAATTATGACAGTTTTAAATGTGTGATCTGTGACTCAAACCTTGATTTTGCCACATTGTAAGAGGCATTTCTGTCCCCAGCAGGAACAAGGCAGGCACCGTCACTTACCAGCTCGGGGGACTCCTTTGTCTGCCAGTTTCAGAAGTCCTTTCTTCTTTAGTATGAAACTAGAACCAATAAAGATACTGGAACCTATTGCCAAAGCCAAGCCAACATAAAGCTGGTATTTGCTTCCAGCAGGTGTTGAGATGCTTTGGATTGTTTCATTGAGAGTCCTGTCCATAGAGGCGAGGAGAGAAGAGCGTGATTCAGACACATTGATGATCTGGCACCATGCTTGGCAGGAGTCATGGCAAGGAAAAGAGAGCACAGCACCTGGGAGGAGAAAAAGGAGGGTAAGTGATTCACAAACCAGGCACAGATCTGAAGAACCCCATCCTCACCCTGCTCACTGCTTTCCATGTCTTCCCAGAGCACTTATCACTTCTGACCATACAAATAACTCACAAAATCCACATAACATACACAATGCTGCCCCGGGCCATGACCCACCCCTGTAATGCCTTATATATATTTTGCACTACATTGACTCAGTCCAATGATTAAGGCAATACCAAGGAATGCAACAATAAAATATTACCTTTGATGTAAAATTCAACTTGAAATTGTAAAAGCTAACCTGAAACCCCAAAAGGATTCTTTTGTGTTGTGCTGGGACCACCCAACCTATAGCAAAATCCATGATTTCAGAACTTGCCGACTAGAGTAAGTCTGCCACTATTTCAGGATTCTGCTTTTATATTTGATGCTGAGATTTGGAAAAAAAACAAATTAAAAAATAGAAGGAAAAAAATCTATATAGGGAGCAAACTCTTGCGCATACGGGCAACAATATGTTTTATTAAAACTGTTCAGAGACTGCAGCGTGAGACAGATCTTTAACCACTAGTAAAATTTTGAGGTGGAGGCCTCATTACACCTCAGAGCAATTATCGTCTAACTTCAACAGGCCCTAGCTGGAGGAAGAGCGCAGCCTGTAAGGGACCATCCCCCTGGCTATCCCTGCAACACAGCTGCCGAGCTGGGTGATCCTGAGCTAAGACTGAAGCTTCACATTCTCTGCCAGCCAAGCCTTATCAACATCACTGGGATGACAGACTGTGGGAATGATATCATCTGCCATCAGCCTAGACGTGTTTTTAAAGGAAGAAGAGGTATTGCATTTCCAGGAACAAAAGCAGTCGTTACTTTGCATGGGGAAGCAGGGGCCAGGCAGCAATGCTGCAACAGGGTTGACTGCAGTCTAGGCAGAAGTTTCACAGGTTCTCATGGTAGACTGCATCACACAAACAGCATGGATCAAAGAAACTAGTCTAGAAGAGGTTTTAAGGAAAACCTTTTTTTGAAAGCAAGGTTTTACTGTGAAAACATGCTAAAATATAAAACAGCTCATGCAGAGGTACAAAAGCTCAGTCCACTGTGATTCATATAACGCACTGGATACAACAAATAATTTTGCTTTCCGTGCTTCCCCTGTAATTAAAATGACACATGAAGGATTCATCCTGCTGAGTGACCATCTGCAATACACTCACTCTTTTTTTTTTTCCAACTGAAACAAACACTTGGAAACTTGGCAGAAAAGGATGTGCCTCTGTGTTGGTTCATACCTAAACTCAGGAAATACTAACAACTGTCAAAAGTAATTCACCGCACAATCAACAAGAAGCAGCCTTGGATAATTCATCTAATATTGTTTAGGAAGGAATATCTAAAATATCAGAAGTATTAAAAATTATATGAAATTTGACAGCGTATCTTAATTTGCAGCTGACAATACTGATACTAACACAGGGAAATACCACCCTTTACAAGTAAGGAACTAGAATAAGTATCTCCTCCCAGTTTTCCTGGGCCATACTGTACAACAAACATACTACAGGAAGTTTTATTGGATTTTCAGGCTGTGCAATGACATTTCCTTGTTTACCAGGAGAGTTTCTATGCAACGAGAATTGTTTTGTATTGCTAAACCAGACTTCATAAAAATTATCCCACAAGATGGGTATGTCCATATCCCACAGTTGAAGATTAAAATCTCAAAGAATTTACATCTACATGAAATTACTTTTGCATAGTATGTTGGATAGATAGTATTCTGCCATCTTATCATTACTAGAAGTTCCAACCGGATAATGTAAAAGAAATGGAATTTGCATCTCTATCTGAAAGTATTTCAAAATTCTTAATTATTGGCATAGTCTTAGAAGAATATTTTACATAGACTTAAATGTTGATATAATTATTAAATTACAAAAGACAATTACAGAGAAGTCCTTCAAGCACAAATGTTTCTCTTAGTTAACACATATCAGGCCAAGTCAAAAAAAAGAAGGGGTTGCTAGTGAATTAAATCCCTTAGCTCTCAATACCTTATAATGATGCTAAACCAGATCAGTGATGGTTGTACCACAACCACTCAGTTACCACGGGCTTTATGTGAGAAGCAACAACATTTCTTGCCTTTAATTAAAAGAATGCATGAAGATAAAAACTGTTAAGGGTGGACTTTTAGCTACCCACAGTGGTAAAGGCAGCTTTCTATCAGCATGCTGGGTTTCTACAGTGAAGAAAATAGCACTCTTCTCCCTCTTTTTGTGAATGGTGTTTTTAACTGGGGATGAATGGCAGGCTAATTCCCTTCCATATGACATTATTGCTACTTTTTCTACTGATTCTTAAGTTTTCCATTCCCCAGCAGACTTTACAACATTGAATAATGAAAATTTAATCATGCCATCTGTAGTAAGTCACTCAGTGACTCCCACAGCATGATTCTCTCCTTTCTGAAATACAATCTTTGCTCACATTTACAAAGAGACGTTGGATTTTTTCACCTGTCTTGCCTGCCAGATGAGAAGAGTAATTCTGAATGGTTGTGATCTCTGTTTTTTGTTCTGAGTGGCTTTTGCCAGTTTTAAAAAACACGTCATTTGTTCCACTTGCATGTAAAGTGGTATGTCACTCTACTGATCGAAGAGCCACCTGAGAGCTGGGAAGAGAAGGCTGATCCAGAAATTACTAATACTTTATTGCCCACTTGACTATTCTGAAGATTACTTGGAAGGACTGAGGAAGGAGACGAATCTCTGAGGCCACCTGGTTTGCTCAACACCCAGTTTCTGTAGCTAAGCTAGTTTCACCTCCCACTTCCAAATGTCAACAAACATGAACCTGTCAGCAGAACCTTTCGTTGCAGAAATAAAACTCTCTGAGCTCTGACTCAAGGCTGACAGCAAGAGGAAACCAGTCTGAGTTCAGGTGACCACTATCCTAACTTCTAAAGTGTTTTTACGATTCAGCTAAATCCAAAACTGTTTTTTCAGACACCTAAATATTCTCTGATTCAGGCAAATCAGACAGTCTGGTACTACATGCTCCTTGTAGCAAGTTTAACTGGCTGTTGTTTTAAGTCCTGTAAAACCCTGCAGTTCATTAGTGACAGCCAGTTTAGCTTTTATCCTGAAGATACTGGTCCTAACTCATCTGGAAAACTGTTTGCTTTGATTAGACACATAATTTGACCATTTTTATTGCATGCACGAATCAGCTCACGCCTGGCAGGAACATGAAATGCCCTTTTCCACCACCCCGGGAGATACCAAGCCCACTTTTGCCAAGGCCTGGCAACTGGGGCCAATAGCGGGTGTACCGAGAGGCAGCAAGGGTCTGTGCCCCGGTACACCCCCATTCATAAAAATGCACAAAACATGCTGAAACGAGGCGTTAGACAAGGAGCCAGCCGCGGGAGGAGAAGCGCAGGAGCCCCCCCGGAGCCGGCAGCGCCCCACTCCTCGGAGAACAACAGCATGAGGAGGGGCACAGTCTGGGCACAGTCTCGGGCACGCAGGCGTTACGAGAGCCGCCCCCTGTTTAA